TTGTCCAAAAACGACTATAGACTTTATAATTCAGGCTTTTTCTCAATCTGTTCACTGAAGCCACTCAGAATATGCCATTACCTCAGGAAGAAAGCATTTTGATTGCCAGCATCAATTTTTAATCATCTCAACTATATTATCTATTTGGAACATACAGTAAATTCACTCTCATCGACATCATAATGCAATGCAGCTGGAGACTAATGGATGCACATTCATTTTACTATTAAGGAAGAAAATTTGCTACAAAGCAACTTTTTAAATGTACTTCCAAATTGGATATAGATGATTCAGTGATTGTCTCTCTTTTGGGGAGTGGGGGTTGCTAAGGATTGGACCCAGGGCCTTGTGAATGCTAGGAAAGCACTCTGCTACTGAGCTACTCCATAGGCCTCTAGTGACTATCTCTTATTCTGAACTTTGTCCCTGTCTCTGTGGTTTCCATTAGTAAAGGTGATCAGGAGCAGACCAGAAGTAATGCTTGCTCATATTTGGAAGCTTGAGGTCAGATACTGCTGCTGGAAGTGGTTTTGCAGACAGGATCCTAGATGCTGCAGAAAGGTTGTTGGAAAAAAGCTTCTTTCCATTGTACTGTGAGGTTAATGCCATGAAATGGATCTTATTGAAGGCTTCAAAATTATCTTAAATTTAAAATATGCCACATGTAAATTAAAGATTATAAATACATATACATATATATTTTTTGGTATCAGGGATTAAACTCAAACTCAGAGGCACTTAACTACTGAGCCACATCTCCAGCCCTTCTTCTTCATTTTTTGAGACAGTTGCTTACAGCCTCACTAAGTTGCTGAGGCTGGCTTTGAACTTGAGATTCTCCTGCCTCAGCCTCCAAAAGCTGCTGAGATTACAGGCATGTGCCATCACACTCAGTTTATAAAAATATTTTTACAAATGCTAAATATCTTTGAATAACAAAAACACAAAAATCCAGCAATCTTTGAAATCTTAAATCTTTCCACAGACCAATTTTCTTCTGTTTCTTTTGAGAGGAAATTCTTATCAAGTGTTCTATGATAATGTCATTAAAAATGAACACAATCTATACAGATCATGTTTTCATTTAATCTTTTAAACTTTATTCACCTTATCTTTTTAAAACAGTGTTGTACTATATGTAATGTTTTATAATTTTTCATAATGAATGAATTATGTAGAAATTTATTTATTTATACACATGGATCTATTTCAGTCCACATTATTCCACTTAATGGTACAGATATTCTATTAATTATTTACCTATCAATAGACTTACCAGTTCATAATTTTTAGTTATAACAAGTTTCTGCAATTAATATATCTGCGCAACCATTATGCACTGTGAATATTTCCTTAGGATTGAATTAAGTATCACTTTAAAAAACTGTCAAGTGGTTCCATAAAAAGGCCATTCTAAGCCAGGTGTGGTACCTCATGCTTATAATGCCAGCAACTTGGGAGGCTGAGGAAGAAGGATCGCAAGCAACTTAGCAAGACCCTCAGCAACTAAGTGAGACCCTGTCTCAAAATTTTTAAAAAAGTGCTGGAGCTCAATGATAAAGTACACTGGGTTCAATACCAAAAACAAAACAAACAAACAAACAAAAAAAAACTATTCTAATTTATACCACTACCTATTAACCAGAACCACTATTACTGAAGCTGTACTCTGAGCTAAAGTGTTTTTCCTCTCTTCCTCCTTTTCAATTTGTAAGCGTGGCTGTTTTCTCCCTGCATCCTGCTCCACATCTTACTAGACAAGCAGTTGATACAGTTAAAAGAGTTACCCTTTCATGCACACTCCCTCTTCCCAGGCTACAGTAATGATTCCAATAAAAAGGTAGTCATACAAGAGACTGGCTGTGACGGAGAGCAGGTATACTGACCTTCAAGTGGCAAACCTTGAAAGAACCTTATTGTCTTGGATTCACAGATCCAGGATGACACGGTGACTTCAGAACCACATCACTAACTCACAACCCACATTCTAGAGCTGCCTCATTCCTCAGAACTAATGAACTACTCTGGTGTCCGCCTGCCTGAGGCTGAGATAACATCCCCACAAAAGGATCTACATAAACTTTGTCTTGGTATTCAACAAGAACAACCCAGGAGCTAGCTGGTTGTCTTCCAACATGCCAGCTTGTTGCTAAAAACTTCTTCTCCCACCACTGTCTCTCGAGTTATTGGCTCTCTCAGGCAGCAGCAGAAAATCGGGCTTTCACAATAACACAACCATATCCATTTCCCTACATATTCATCAATACCAAGTATTTTCAATCTTTAAAATATATGCCAATTGGGGCTGGGGATGTGGCTCAAGCGGTAGCGCGCTCGCCTGGCATGCGTGCGGCCCGGGTTCGATCCTCAGCACCACATACAAACAAAGATATTGTGTCCGCCGAAAACTAAAAAATAAATATTAAAAATTCAAAAAAAAATATGTGCCAATTTGGGCTGGAGATATAGTTCAGTTGGTAGAGTTCTGACCTCACATGCACAAGGCCTTGGGTTCAAACCCCAGCACCAAAAAAAAAAAAAAATCTGCCAATTTAATAAATATGGGATTTCCCTATTTTAAGTCACATCACTTCCCAGATCACCAGTTACATGTTCCCTTGGCAAATCATATTTTTTTCTTTATATAAATATCTATATAGAACCTTCATTCGTTCTTTTTAATTTGCAAAATTTTTTTTAGTGGTGCTGGGGATTGAACCCAGGGCCTTGTGCATACGAGGCAAGCACTCTTTCAACTGAGCTATATTCCAGCCCCTTAACTTGCAGAAATTTTTATATACTCTGGGTATTAGTTCCTTACTTGGTGTAAATGTTGTAAATACATCCTCCTAACGTATCATTATTTTAATTTTATTTATGCTGCCCATTTCATAAAGAAACTTAATTTTTTAAAATTTTAGTCAAATTTATCAAATATTTCTCTTTGTGATTTTTGCATTGTCTGGCTTCTATACCTTGAAATTTAAAAAATTACACACACACACACACATCTCCTATACTCTTTTCTAACTCTGAGGTATTCAGGAATAGATGACCTGTGAGGTGTTAAGGAAAACAGGAAGAGACTAACATACCGCTTTTCTTTGCCACCCCTCCTACTCCAGCTTCTGGACCTGTGAATTACAATTCAGGACCATCTCTAATGCTGCTTCAGAATGGCAGTAGGGAGGGTAAAGCCTAGGCTTGAGGAGCTGCCTTGTGGGTAAAGAGTCAGTAACTGGTTCCTCTGCTGCCTAACCTCAGGTCTCACCCACCCCTTACCCAGAGCTAAGACCAGCATCGACTGGGTGCGGCCTTCCTCCAGTGCCTGACAGCATCTGAAACCCCTGGAGGAAAATGAGTTTGCAGTCCAAGATAATATGGTATTTTAATGAGTACAACCATTTCAAAAGAAAAACAATATAATCAACTACAGATTCTGTTAGAAGCAAAATACAACAACTAACCAATAATTTAAATAGATTTTTAACTACACTAAATGAAACAAAAGAAAATATTAACAACATAAAATAAGAACAACAAAAAAAAAACCCTAAAAAGAACCAAGCAAAAATAATTAGGTTTGAAAAATATAGTTGCTGAAACCAAAATCGGAATATATGGAATCAATTACAGAATGGTTATAGTATATCCATGGAATAAATGTGAAAACTGGAAGGTCAGATTGAGAAATCTCCCAGAAAGAAGGAAAGCACAAATAGATTTAAAACAGACGTACACACACACCCCTACTGAGAATTAAAAATCAAGATAATGTCAATATAATGGTGAGGGAGACTATAAAATGAGACTAAAAGTTAGGTGTGGTGGTGCACGCTTATAATCTCAATAACTCAGGAGGCTGAGGCAGGAGTCCCAAGTTTCAGGCCAGCCTCTAACATGGTAAGACTTTGTCTCAAAATTAAAAAATAAAAAGGGATGGGGATGTAGCTTAGTGGTAAAGCATCCCTGAGTTGAATTCCCAGTACCCCGACCCCAAACAGCTAATGTATAAAACAGTAAAAGGTAACTAAACCAAGCATATTCTTTAGAGACATACAAGGTAAGTGACAAATTGCCACAAATGAAATGATAGTGATTGGAAGGTGCAAAAATGGTGTTTTTCTTCAAAATCTTATAGAATTATTTGAACCTTTAAACTATGTCATGTGTAGCTTTTATTAAAATGAACACTAATAAAAAGAAGACAACCCAGAAATCCTAAGGACTAGACATACCACCACTCCTGCATATTTGGTTTGTGACTGTGGCTCTGAGGACCAGAAGCACTGTTCATATCACATCTACTAACTGGAAGCAGAGCCTCTTCTTGTGGAAGACACCTGAAGATTCACTGAAGACAGACTGTCCCTTTTAGTGAAAGGACTAGTCTGCTTATTAAAAGTGTGAACTTTTTCACTTTCACTCACCTCTAGTGCAAGTCAGGAGTTCACAGAAGTCTCACAGGAATAAGTTTCGACTTCATGTCCCTATTCCCCAACTGCTGGTAACTAAGGCTAGTCCTATGTCTCACACAAGGTTTGGCAGGGCCAATCCCTGACTATTGCTCTTGCCTACCTCATTAAAATGACTTTCTCAAACAGCCATCTGCACATCTCCTTTCTCCAAACCTATATAAAAAATAAGCATTTTTCCTTCCATAAATAAATGACTCCTGCTTGCCAATATAAATAATTGATGACCTGCTAAAAACTACAGTGCTTCCACATTGAATGTAGACAATACTGCGTGAAGTCAGGATCTTAGCAAATCAACAGCAATACTTGTGCTAGGTTATAGTATTTCCATCCTTTGTAATTACTGCTCTGGCTGTTTCCAAGACAGTATCCAAAGAAAGTCAGACATTGAATCTTATCTTCTTATTTACAATCTGAGACATAACCACAGATATCCAACATTAAAGCATTTGTTCCTATACCTTGTCTACAGGTCCTAGGCTGAAGCTTTAGGGAAGAAAACAGATCTAGAAGTTAACATACCTTAAGCATATAGTAGAAGGGGAACCATGACAGGAAGAGATCAGAGAAGAATTCAGCAATGCTGAACACACCATACACTACCCAGTAGGTCAGCCACTGAGTATCATCATCCTTGTTAGGACTCTCTATGGCTTTCATTCTGAAAGGTAATACAAGAGAAAACAACATTTAGTAAGATCTCAGAGAAGCATTTACAAATATACTTTCACAGCTTGTTCTCCAGCACCGCTGAGAAACTCAGGCAAATGTATGTATGCACTGCAGCACCAACTGCAAGAGTACAATATAAAGACAATGTGAAGTCAGGAGAATTGTTATCACCACTTGTTCCCAGTCTTTTGGTCACCAGAAAAATAAGCACTAGCTGTTGCTGCCCACACATATCCAGCCTGCTAGAGCTGCCACCATGCCCCAAGATGTACTACTAGTGATAGGCTACTAAAGCAACCCCATTCCCAGGTTGGCTCCTGCCACCAAGGATATATCGGGAAGAATTCTCTCATGGTAAGTAAGTTCTTTTGCACTTTAAAAAAAAAAAACATTTATTTTAGTTGTAGATGGGCACAATACCTTTATTTTACTTATTTATTTTTTTAAATTAATATTTCATAAGCCATTTTCTTTTTTTTTAGTTGATTTTATTTTTTAAAATACATGACAGTGGAATGCATTACAATTCTTACTTATTTATTTTTACATGGTGCTGAGGATTGAACCCAGTGACTCACATATGCTAGACAACCACCCCACCACTGAGCTACAACCCCAGCCCCCTTATGCACTTTTAATAGCTGATATACATCATGGGGGCATAGGAGTTTCTCATAAACAAACTCATGGAACACAGGTTAGGCACTGTTCAAAGTCCACAGCACACTGCATAATAAATAGGTGAAAACCACCCTCACAGTGTCCATTTAGTTCAGACTTCCTTGGGTCCTCAGGCTATGGACTCTCCTCCCCTTGTCAGTTAATAACATTTCCACTTAGACAAAATTAATTCAGTGAATGGATGGGAAAATTAAAAAAATAATAATTTTACTTTTGAATCACAGGAATTTCCTTCAGTTCTAGGAATATCCATGTTCTAAACCTGAAGCTCCACAACATCTTATACTATCCTAACATATCTGTACATTTATCATAACTAAGCTGGACTAAAACCATAAATTGAAAGAAATCTGAACTCTGTTTAGCCTTTAAGAGAGATTAACTACTAAAAAAATCATATGGCTACTCTGTAAAAATCAGCTCCCCAAAGACAGGCTGCTGAATCATGATGAGTCATCCACTAAGAAAGAGCTTGTGAAGTTAATTAGGAGCAGCTGTGTGTGCGCATGTGCCTGTGTGCATGTGACAGTGTTTATGGTTGTGTTTTAAAAAAGTAACCTAAGGGGGAAAGATTACAGCTGAATGAGATGATTGCTAATGGTATGTGGAATGGATGAAGAGGCAGAAGTGATGAAGTAAGGGCTGTTTTGAACTTAGAGATTGTGCAAAAGCAGACATGGTGGCACATGCCTATAATCCCAGCAATTTGGGAGGCTGAGGCAGGTTCAAGGCCAGCCTCAACAGTTTAGCAAGATCCTAAGCAACTTACCAAGACTCCTCCTCAAGATATTTTAAAAAATAAATGTGCCTTGGTTAACCAAGACAATTCCAATGCTGCTTATTCTCACTCACAAGTACAAGGGACTTTTCACATTCTTACTGTACATGAAGACCCATCGGGTCTCTGAGATCCCATAAGAAAGTTTTCACAAGGGTTTATCCATACTTTCCTCTTTAGTTTGCTGAGAAGCAGGAAACCTTCCAGACATCCTGAACCAGTGAACTTTTTGTGGTTTGTCCATCAACATACACAAAAGTCAATACAGCAATTCACAAATCTCTTCCCATTGCATTGTAGCATGGCCTTAAATTATTTCTGTATCTATAGGTTGCCCATCCCCAGCCTACTCTGGAATGTGATCCTAACTGTATTCCTTAGAAAAAATGTCTGATTAGCCCAGCAGTGTTTGAAGACCTCTATTCTGTATCTTGTTATAATTTATATAGTTATGTGTCTGGTTTCCAAAATGAGCTTCCCAAGCCATCCTAACTGATGTCCTCCAAATGTTGTTCCCTGCTGAGAAACAAACCGGTTTTTGCCTCTCACCCAAACTCAGCTCACATTTTCTCCAAAGAAATTATTAGGACATTCCATTAGCTAACAATGGTCCCAGCTAATTAATGTACTCCAATATCTAGCAACTGTTTTACAGGAAAAATAATCTACATTGTATTTACTGCAAATCCTCACCAACATGACAAAGACAAATACCAACATGATTATTTTTCAGCTGTTATTCAACAATTAAAGTGATTTTCAAATATGAACACTACAATTATGAGAAGGAAGGACATAGTTCTGCTTTAAAACTGCCTGGAAATAGAACTCTTATACTACACTAATGATTTAGGATTGAGCTAGAAAAATAGACTCTCTTACTAATAGAGTAAGTGGGGCAGAAATAAACCTTCCAGTAATTTGGTGGTGAGAGGGGCCACACTTTAAAAAAGGGGCAGTGGAATTGTATTTCTGAAATAAATGATCTGAAAATCTTAAAAAAAAAAAAAAAAATTAAACTGGCTCAGTGGTTAAGCACCCCTGGATTCAATCCCTGGTACCAAAAAAAACAAACAAACCAAAAAAAACAAACCAACTTTTCACTTTATTCGCTTTAAGCAGAAAAATCACATTAAATGAACTTAAGAAAGCTGATTATAGCATGGTTTGTAGCTTGTAACATGTGAACCAAATCAATATAACAGAAGGCCAAAGGAAAAGCACAGGCAAGCGGGTTAACCAAAGAATGAACATGTGTGAGATTATTTTTCCTTTGTGCTTTATTTGGTTTTGTATTGCTTATCTATTTATACTTAGTTGGAGTTTTAAGTCATTACTATAATAAAAATGTGTTTTTTACATATTCACCCTGGGCAGAGCGGATACATAATTATATTTCACTTCAGGTCTTAAGCTATTCCATAATTAAACTATCAACAATATGAATTCAAAAGTTTCTGTGTGAGTACATTGGAACCCTATATAGGAATACCATAATGGAAGTAAAATAACTCAAAACTGAACACACATTGATCATAACTTTGTTGAAATCCAAGGAACATGAAAGAAGAAAGGGGGAAAAAAAAGTCTTACTAAGCTAAAAAAATTTTCACGGAACTTCATAATGTTAAAGCATTTAATTATTGTTTTAAGCAAAACAGTTGTTTTAAAAATGCATCTCCAGTATCCTAACATCATAAGCCAATAGAAGAAAGACACTAAGAGATAGTCTAGCCACTTGGGAACCTGAGATGCAGCAAGGGGAGGTGCTAGGCTGGGGTGGGGGACTTGCCTACCTGTGTGAATCCTGGATTCAATAATCATATCACATCACCTTACCTTACCACACACACAATAGGATAAGGTTCTCTAACATAGTTATGGTAAAAGAAATAAAGAGCTTAAAAATGGAGTTACCCAAATGCTATTTATTTATCTAGATTCTGAACAGACTTCCTTGTCCAAGTGAAGGGACAGAGATGATTCTCCAACAATACATTCTACTTCCTGGGACATATACTGAATCATATTCTACTACCTGGGACATATACTGAATCATATATTTTTACTAAGTTTCCTAGAATGATCTAAGTTCTCAACAGGCTTGTGCTCTTAGAAAGTTGTGCAGGTGATCAGAACAAACAATGCAGAACAAAACTTGAGAACCATCAGCTCAAATTTCAATTTTAACAGCACCAACCCTACTCATTTCTAGGAAAGAAAACCTAAATATGGATGAATGGGCTGCAGTCTGGAGGCAGGCTACCCCTTTCCAACAATGAGTGAGAGGTGGAGAGAGAAAAGCTATGTTTACAAAGCAAACTGAATAATGTCTCTACTACAATTAGAATAAGCCAATATGACCTAGAACATTCACCTGAACATTCTCAAATTTGTGAAAGAATTCAAGATAAAAACATTTATTTAAACAAAGGGGCTGAGTTTGTGGCTCATTGGCAGAGCACTTGCCTGGCATGTGTGAAGCACTGAGCTCGATCCTCAGCACCAGGTATAAATAAATAAAAAATAAAGGTATATCAACAACTAAAAAATATTTTTTAAAAAAACATGTTGTTTACAAAAACTGTACCTAAAAGCCCTATACTTGCATTGCTGGAACATCAACCTCTCCAGGGCTTTCAGTCCCTAGCTAAACCTCAGAGGAGTTCTGGAGCTGCCAGCTGGCAGACTGCAGCCATGCTCTCCTCAGGCCTGGACTACTGTCATTATATGGGTCCCCTCTCTCTAGGGCCATATCATCCTCAAGTGGCAGGCACTGATCCTTAGCTCTGAACTCCAGGGCTACACATCACATACTGCTTCTCTGGACAAACACCATGGTTTACAAGTCCATTTATCTCTGCAGACCCTTACTGTTATATTCTCACCACTGACCCAAAGCCTGACCACCTAGGCTCAGTGCTGCGGCTTCCTTTTTCTCTTTCCTAAGCCACCTACCAGGGCTTTGCTTCTCTATGAAATGGTTAGCAGGTCTAAAATTTCACGGAGCAGAATCAGGAATCATAGAATACTGAGTTGGAGATATCTCAGGAATGAACAAGTTCAAAGAAAGAGTGGTATCAAATTCTAATTCATCAAACTAAAAGATTATAGAGGCCATAAATTTATATATTTTATGGGCAACGTACTATTTAAATATTCTGAAGCCTTTAAAAAAGATAACGGGGAAAGATGATCAAGATATAGTGTTGAGTGTAAAAGTAGATTCTTATACACAATGGAGTTCTTTTTTTTATAATTTTTTTAATATTTATTTTTTAGTTTTTGGTGGACACAACATCTTTACTTATTTATTTATTTTTTTATGTAGTGCTGAGGATTGAACCCAGTGCCTCATGCACGCCAGGCGAGCGCGCTACCACTTGAGCCACATCCCCAGGCCCCACAATGGAGTTCTATTCAGCCATAAAGAATGAAATTATGATAAATGGATAGAACTGGGGGACATCATGCTAAGTGAAATAAGCCAGACCCAAAAAGTCAGACTCAAATATTTTCTTTCATATGCA